GGGGGCTGGGGCCCGCCGCCCCTGGAAGGGAGGGGGCGACCAGCCTGTCATTGTCCCGGAGTTCCCCCTCGCTCCGGGCTGCCCCCCTTCTCTCCTCGGCGTGCACACTCCTCGCTCCGTCCCCGGCCCCTGCGGGGGTGGACACGGGCGGCGTGGCCGGCGACAGCCCGCTGGGGAGGGCTGTCTGTATAGACGTGCGTGTGTGCATGCTTGTCCCTGCTCCCCGCCACAGCAGCGCTCGGACCAGGGGTCGGGTCCCGGAGCCTCTCCCTGCACAGGGGCATGGGTGTAGACCGGGTGCGGGAGGCCGGCGTGCTGGTGCCCTGCCCGGCGTGTGGCACTGAGTGTGCCCTCGGAGAGGCTGATGGATGGGTCCGGGTGTGCAGGGTGTGAGGGGCCGGGAGGCTTGCTGCACTTGGGGACAGTTTGCCCTGCAGTGTGGCTGGAGAGACAGAGAGGCAACAGTTTGGGGGAAGACGGAGGTTACGGAGAAAGTGAGAGTGGGTTCATAAGCCGGATCTGTAGCCGAGAGAGTTGCATCCCTGTAGCACGAGCAGCCATCCTACCCTCGAAAGGCACTTGACACTGTCTGGGGAAGGGTGGCATTTAAAGGAGGTCCATCGAGTTTGACGTTCAAAGGGCCTAAGGATTACTGAGAAATAAACAGTATTGTGATGGGAAAAGCAGCGCCATTTTTATTCAGAAAAGAAAGTTTGGAAGTATTTTGTCATGAGAGTGAGATTTAGGGAAGTTGTCCGTGGGATATAGTTAGATAATTGCTGTAACCCCGGCTAAAAGTAATTTTGGAAATTTTGTTTACAGTTTTTTCAGGTGTGCTTGATCTAGAAGCGTTGCACTTCCCAAGTGATACTGGTTCACTGTCGAATGTGTTGCTGTTATTGATGTCTTCAGGGATTTCATTTATAAGACAGGATTCCTCCGTGTCCAGACTGCTTTTCATAGCAAGCTGGAAACGACTCCTGAGCCTACATTACAATACTGCCTTGTCCTGTACTGTCTTAAATAAAATAGACTGCATATGTCGAAGGAGTATTAAAAAATTCTGCCTTCTGTTCAAATCTGAGTTTTTTGCTTATATTTCAGTCATAATTTTTGGTTAGTAGTAAAGTACCTGTGCCCCACATATATTGAACAACATTTACAACGTGTATCATGCTGATAACGTACCAATAGTGAAATTAATTCTGTGTTTTAAGAAAATAGTCTTCTGTTTATTAATAAATTGATCAGAACTTAGGGTTTTTTCATCTTCTCAGACTTGTGGAGAATTCTCACTGTTTTCTAAACTGCAGTGTAGTGTAATGACCTTTTAGCATGTTACACCCCTGACTTACATGGGTTGCTGTCATTATATCAGCAAATGCAGAGTGGGTATCTGTTCAAAAATTTTTTTACTGATGAGCAAGGGGGACAGGCTTGTACCTTTCCATTTCTTCTAGGGAGGCAGGTATATTCTCTCTCTTTCTGCCATAGCCCTACCACTCTCTACCATGATGAACTCTTTACTGTGCTATTACCTTTTAATTTATATAACACTTACAAGTTCTTAAAGTGATTTGATATTAATGAACTCATTTAAACATCTCAGCAATCTGAAGGAAGTTTTTTCAGTACTGAGATAAGCAGGAGAATCTAGGGAAAGTGACAGGACTTAAAATTTTTAGACTTTCTTTTTTATTTGCTAAAGATCTTGATTTGGAACCTTGGACGACCGTCATCCTCTTGGGACTACACTAAATTTGTATAGCCATGTATAGCTCTGAATTTGTATAGCCATTTGTACAGTATTTTGAGTTCTGTTCTCTTCTGTAAGCAAGTCTTAGGAATATTGGATTAATACCATGCAAGCCTTAACTTTTCATAGCAATAATAAATCATTTTTTTAAGCACTGAAGAATTGACCTTTTTGTTGATGAAGCTCTTAGAATAACTGAAAACCCCTATTGTAAAATTGGATGAATAAATAGTTATTTAGCCATTATTTTAAAATCAAGCAAAATCGAAAATTTTTATAACATGTAAATAATTGAGTTCAAGTTGACAAAAAGCCTAAGAATTGGTTGTAATCAAACAGTGTGATGGGGTTGGGTGGTGGTGGTTAGCAAGAAATTGGTAAAGAGCCACAAAAGATGAATACATTGCATAATGATAAATATAGTAATTATCCTATTCGAGCATCACATATTTCACATAGGTATTGATATTCAACACTGTATGCAAAAGATATGTACAATTATATTTCAATAAAAGACAAAACAAAACAAAATAAAAAAACAAATAGTGTGATTCAACAGGAAAAAGACAAATCAGGAAAAGTGTAAAAATGTAACTTGTTAGTATGTTAGTCTGGTGTGCGCTATTAACAATATTTAAAAAATTTAGGAAACTATAAAAGCAATTTGGTGTCAGATGAAGAAAAGGACTTTAGGGTAAGAAAAATAGTTAATGTTTTCACTAGAGTGATTGTAGAATTTATGAGATGGTAGAAATTACTGGTATGTGTGGAATATAAGAATGCACCTTGCATGGTGCAGTAGCAAAGGAAGGAGGAAGTGTTTTGCAGTGAGGCTGAGGCCAGGGAAGAAAAAGGAGCAAGAGATCTTGCCTTGGATTTCTGGATTGTCTAATCTTCACTGAGAATTCCAGAGTGACCTTGAGGCCGCTATAGCATTTGTTCATTAGTTCCTAAATCTAAATAAAAATAAATCTAGTATCAGTGAGATTACGTGATGCTTCAAGACAGGAAGTATCAAGCATCTGATGTTTCTCCTCTCTAGGCCTTGCTTTCCAATCAACTTTACTTCTAGGCTAATGTTTAGTAGGTGTTATGATTAAAGGGGTATATGGAGAGTGGGTTTAGAGGAAGGAGTTGGGCTAGGGAGAGCTGTGCCAAAGAAAAGGGCCAAACATGCTGTCTAGAAGACATCGGATACTGTTGGACGTAATCGTGTTCTTTAGTAGTGGTGATGTAGTGGAGAGTTGGGTCCAAAGTGAGTATCAAAATGAAACAGAAGAGAATATTAAATGTCCCAGATCAACTTGTTTTTTACAGTCATTTTTTTTCTATGTTCTATCACATTTGATTTTGCCTAACTCTCTGAATTATCAGACTAAGGTTGCTGTATAGCATTTTCCATCTTCCTCCCTCCCTTTTTTTCTTTTCTTTTTAAGCAGTTTCTTCCCTTATTTCCCATGATGCTGTAATTACTAGTATGAAGCCAGAGTAAATTTCCCTAGTGATGTGATACCCAGGATGGCATACTTGGCAGAAGGCCAGTTAGAGATGGGACTGGCCTGTATAGAGTTATTGAACAGCCCTGTGTCATTGTTTTAGAGATAATGTGCTGAACCTTGGGCAGGGAGAGGGAAGCAGGAGGAAGACTTAAAATATTTTGAAAGGTTTGGAAGAGGGAGAAAAAGATGGCGCTGGAGGAAAGGAGGAAGAACTGTTATTAGTCTCACAAAGTTGGATAATAATTACAATGCCTAACACTTTACAGTTTACAGCCTCTTTCACATACATTATATTATTTAAGCGAACCCTCACAACACCGTGTAAAGTCAGATAAAATTCAAGGCCTCATGTATTTAGCTTCAGAAACATACATATATATACATATATACAAACATATATATACATATATATAAAATGTGTGTTAGGCTTAGTTTTAAAATTTCATGATTCTGTGTTTATTAACTGATGAAGCTGCCCCAAATTCTTTTTGGACTAAGTTGGAGAGAATATAAATGAAAACCTAAGGAAAGAAAGTGGACTATGAAATTTTGAAGGAATTTTCAACAGTAAAGAATTGAACCTGACTCTCTAAACTTCGAGAAATGAAGCGGCTAAGCAGAATACCACGTGCACTGAAAATTGCAATTAATATAGGTTTCCCTGTATTCCCTTTCCCTTTATTTATAGAAAGTGGTAGTGTAGTGGTGTGTGGAAATGGCATGATTAGGTTTGGAATCAGACTGCCACCCTTGTGCTCTTTGGCAAATTTTTATATTTTTCTAAGCCCCAATTTCCTCATCTGTAAAATAAGGATGATAATAAACGGTACCTACTTGTAGGTCATTGCGAAGGTTAAAACACATAATCTGTGTAAAATGCTGGATGCATCTCCTAGTAGATGTTTGATGCATAGTCCC